CCTAATCTCAGCTCGTTACCTGTATAAAAGACACCTGCGAGCCAGAAATCTTTCTGATTAAGAGGGGGTCAAATACTTATTTCCCCCATTAAAATGCAAATCAATTTATAACATTTTTGACATGCGTTTTTCTGGATTTTGTTGTTATTTTGTCTCTCACTGTTCAAATAAACCTACCATTAAAATGATAGACTGATCATTTCCTTGTCAGTGGGCAAACGTACAAAATCAGCAGGGGATCAAATACTTTTTTCCCTCACTGTGTCTTTCGGTACAGTATTGTGCAATCGATACTTAAATTAAATGTCCAAAATATCACTGCTGGATCACGTGAGATGTTTGCAAAGTGATTTTTTTTACAACAGCTTATTTTCCCCTCCCTAGGAAATACCCTCACGTCACGGTATTCTATTTTATTCGCCCTCTCCCGTAGGCTCATTAATGATCGGTTTTGAATGTCATGCTCATCCCGATTGGTGGTAAAAACAGTCTCCAACCGTTATCAACCTGATCTCGCTGGCCTCTCCATGTGCTTTAAAGAAGGCCCATTACCTGAAACGTTGCCTATTATATACCTTTTCTTTTGAAGGACACAGTGCTATTGACAAAGGCGTTGAGTTTCATGGACAATAGAACCCCTATTAACGATCGCCCTTGTTAACGACTCATCGCTTAACCACGGTTTCATTGAGCCCAATGTGTAGTGTAGAGTAGTGTATAGTGTATATTGTAGTGTATAGTAGTGTAGTGTATAGTAGTGTAGTGTATAGTAGTGTAGAGTAGTGTATATTGTATAGTAGCGTTGTGTATAGTAGTGTAGTGTATAGTGTAGTGTATCGTAGTGTAGTGTATAGTGTAGTGTATAGTAGTGTAGTGTATAGTAGTGTATAGTGTAGTGTATAGTAGTGTACAGTGTAGTGTATAGTGTAGTGTATAGTGTAATGTATAGTAGTGTAGTGTTTAGCAGTGTATAGTGTAGTGTATAGTAGTGTAGTGTATAGTAGTGTAGTGTATAGTAGTGTATAGTAGTGTATAGAGTAGTGTATAGTGTAGTGCTTCCATAGAGCCCAATGTGTTCGCTTACCGACCATTCCCCTGTTAACGACGGGCTGTTGTAGGTAAATATTAATAAATGCATTGATTAACCATGTTTCTTTTAGTACTATGTTTTATAATGTCGTTAGTATCTTTATGTATTCATATCTATTGTTTAAATATTATAAAGTACGTTTTTTGGGTGGAAAGGGTAACTTTTGATGCTATCGGAACGAATTAGGCCTTTAACATGTATTTCCTATACTCGCTTAACGACCAAATCACTTAACGCCCGGTTTCTTGGAACCAATTGCCATCGTTAAGATGGGTTCTATTGTACAGTACCGTATATATATTTTATTTGTTGCCAGTTATCTTTTTCTGTGGAGAGGTGGCATTGTGGTTAGCGCACTGCTCTCTGAATCTGGCGTGCCGAGTTCGAGTCTCAATAGCGGCGGCGGTGAGCGCTACCTGAACTGGTCCTGGGCACTTCCTTCACCAACCCATACGTGGCCATAATGGTGAAGTATGACCAACCACTCCCATGGATGACGTGGCACGGGGGATGCCTTTATCCAGCAATGGATTGACGTCTGTAAAATGCAGTACTATTGGCTTACAATATATTTAGTATAATATTCCATGTTTCGCCTTGTCAAAGACCGAGGTTAACTTAAGCATAAGCTTGAATCAATAAGTACCCGTTATTTGTTTTAGATACTACTGAACAATTTAAATCAAAACATGAACCTAAAAATCATTACATTTTGATTTAAAGCTTTCGTGACTGCAGGGATTCATATTCTTGGTTCTTTCGGTAAAGTCACGTAGAAGGGAAACAATAAAATAATAAAAAATATAAAACAATAAAATTCTCACGACGTTTCGACTGCAACACAAGCAATCATCATCAGGTGTGAAAACCACAGCAAGAAAATTTGAAAATCATTGTTTGTCATTTCCGAACCATCAAAATGTATTGCCACACAATTAGCTAAGCTCTTCCAAAATCTGGCTTCAACCTTTTGAAATAACACAACCTAATGCACGCACATATGCCGCTGAGTAATATAATTCATATGGGCACCAACACAGCCACCAACAGTGAGTGAGTCACCAATTATTCAGTTGTGCTCTGTGGGTGTAATGAACAGGCCCGGGCATGCTGCGAAACAGCTGTCTCTGCCGACAGAAAGGTGAAATGTGAATCAGTAGAAAATATGCTAATCTCCATTTATAAAAGGGAAATTTGTGAATATGTGTGTCTGTTCAAAATGTTTAGCGTACTTCCCGACATGCAAAAAACTTGAAATTTGCCATGTGGGTACTTTCCAGACTGTACACCGTGCAAACATTATAAAAATAGACTTTTGTATATTTTTTTTTGGGGGGGGGGGCGCGCAATAATGCATAAGTGAGCTGTGACGTCACATCTGTCATGTCACCTGCATGCGGAAGCGTAACAGAGTGTGCCTGCTGATGTCACCACCCCAACCCTCCGCGGGTAAAGTGAAATACAAATGTGTTGCAGGTCTAAGGCGTTCTTCGCGCAGCATTGCTTTATTATTTCAGTCGTTTACTGCCGTACGCACCCTCAAAGTTGTGTGTGTGTCTGCAGCAAGCGCGTGTATGTGTACCTGTGGACGCGCGTGCGCGTGTGTGTGTGTGGGGGGAGCGGTAGTGTAGTGGTCAGCGCGCTGTACTACGAACCCGGCGACCCGAGTTCGATTCCCGCTCACGGCCACCACCGTTGACGATTATTTGAACCGGTCCTGGGCCTCCCCTAGGTCGACTCAGCCTCAAACGAGTAACTGGTGTGGTGTGTGAACATCGCCACTGGGGAGACAAAGGCGGCCGGGCGTGGTGAATCCAAGTCCCGGGCGAAGCCGGGTAGTAAAGCTAGTGATGTATATAACAGTACAGGAGCAGCAATCATAATTTACAGACGTTTGTCATTCTGCTGTTGTATTAAGGCCTCCCCCGCAGGGTCGTGTTCGTCACGGGAGTCGTTTGACCATACTTCACCACGCTGGTCAGTGTGGGTTGGTGAAGGTGATGGTGGGGGCCACTATAACCGGTTCAGATATCACTCGCTGCTGATGTTAGCCATGGCCGGAAATGAAACTCAGATCGCTGGGCTCAGAGTGAAGTGCATTGCCTGCCGTGCCACTTGTTCCACCCCAGATAATATATACGCATCATTATTATATGTAATGGTGGTAGAAAAATGTGTTTATTTCGTTCACTGATTAAACTGAGGATACATGAATAAAATTGCGTGTGTAAGAATCAGTGGATTCGCATCACCTCTTGCAGCCACTAGATGCGTCACCATTCACCAAAATTTTAAAACAAGAATACATTTTTGTTTTGAATAATGATCCTAAAATCATTGAATTGCTGGGTGGGTAGGGATGTGCGGTGCGGTTGGTGGGGGAGAGTGGGGAGGGCACAGTCAGAGGTTAATCCTACCACCCCAAGTATATAATGTCTAATATCGCTTCAACATGATCTAACATGTATTTGGTGTGACAAATAACATTGCATTGCCAGCAACTCTTATATAACCAATGTGACAGGAGAGCTGAGGGCTACCGCATATTGCGATGGAGACATAGCTTAATTGGTTGGGGCAGCAGGAGACTCCAACCATGAAAACATAAGTTCACATTCTGTCCACGGTGGAATCAACCCCTCAATGTGATATTTTGCGCTGGCTTTGACACTATGTTATTGATGCTGATGAACAGCTGAACTTCTCTTCTCGATCACTTAGCTCCATGCGTTGAGGTCTAGAAAGTGCTGTACTGTTGTCACTCGCTGACAAAATGTCACACTGGAAAAAAGAGACTTCAAGTCTCAATGGATTCCTGGCTGGTGGAAGAAAGTCAGTCAATCAATGAATGTCTCGGGCATCGTTAAATGTAGCAAAACCTGATGAAGCTACATGATTCGGTGGGAAGTCGAGAGTGCTTGCCCTAAGTAAAGAATGGCCTCCGACATGGGAACATGGCATTTTCCCAACCCTGGCTTAGAACTACGAGCAGAGATGGGCACTACCCAACACTTGTTTGAGCGTGGGGGATGACACTAACAGTTAACAGTATTCCGAATGCAAGAGAACGCGTCAGACAGTACTACCCCATCACGGAGATGGAGCAATGTGATTAGCTCATGAGCAGGGGATCGACTTGCCATCGCGAGTAATATATAAAATTAAAGGAAGAGGGACACACGTGTTAGACAACGTTACGCAAGTCGAAGGCCATCACATGGACTGAAGACTTTATTAAACAGATCAAGGCTGTTGCTGATAATGATGTTGATGATTGCAATAGGCATCCTGTCTGTCAATCCGCTCACCTCTTATCCTCGATGTGCGGGACGGAACTGGGTCTGGCAGAGCAGGCTGACCGGAACTCTGTGTGCCGGTCCACATCCCGTCTCTACAAACGTGGCTGCAGTGCGGACGCTTAAAAAAAAAACACGTTCATCCTGCATTCACTGTTTGCGCTAAAAAGTCGAGTGTCCTATTACTCGAAGAGGATTTCAGTAAAAGAAAAATAATATCAGAGCGTGTTTGCATCGCGAGTAATTAGAGCGACAGAGATGTACTTGCCGGGATGCGATGTTTGCCTTTGGGTTTTCCTGCACTGTGCCATAGATGTATGCACTTTAGCCCTAACTGTGACATGACGCAGATTGCCCACTCGTGCTACAAATGCCATTATCAACAACAGGCAGACGCCGCCGTCGCCGCCCCTGAGAAAGCTCTCGGGGAGCTTGGTGGCAGCGCATCTGCGGCTGTGAAATTGCCGTTTGTGAACTGCGATGGGTGGTTTTATTTTCATGCCAGAAAATCGCTGGTACACGGGTAATCAATATTGGAGAAAATAAGTCTGACACTCATTTGTAAATTGCATTGTGATGTGGGGCGCGGGTTGGGCCTGTGCCTTGTGTTTCAGTGTCCATTTGCTGCTGCCTGTTCATTCTCTTCCTCTTCCTCTCCGAACTCTCGGGGTTCATCACCACTGAAATGTAAGTTTTTGATTCACACGGCGATGCTGTCTTTGGCACCGTTAATGGAATATAATTTAATTTATACCAAGGGGGAGATAGGCCTACGACCAAATGGCCTTCGCATTACTCAGAATGTACCTGGTAGCATCAGACCTTGGACGCGCAGCAGGATATTGATCCTTGTTAATAGTTGGATGGGTGCCCCCCTACCATGGCTTGCCAGGAGTGGTAGGCATGGGAGCTGTGAAGTGTGGCCAGGAGATGGCGGTGCTAAATGCCTCTCCCCTCGAATGCGGGGCCGGTTTTTTTCCGGGTTCTCCTGTCCTCTCCTACATGAATGCAAATGCTCTTTCATGGGACTGGCCAACGTTCCTAATGCAAGGATCGTCTTTAATAGAGTATTCAGACTCAGCGGTGCTTTCCTGAGTAAGGAACTACCACTTTATATAGTGACGTCCATTTATAGATACCCCACTGTCTTTTAAAGTCCCTTTTTAGGAGAGTGGAAAGAGTGCTAGGAGAGTGGAAAAAGATGTCATGAGTGTATTGAGATTGGTTGGAGACATGCAGAAAAGATTGAATACAAATGTTCTATGACTCAAATCTTGAAAAATTATGGCAAAAACCGAAAATGTCAATTGATTTTCTTTGACTCAGCAGAATTTATTTTTTCTCTTGGTGTTCAATTGCAAAATGTGCTGACGTGGAATAAACCCACTGTTTTGTGGTAAATGATTCACTCGTGCAGTCTCACTTTTGCCTCTTTCATTGGCATTTCCTCGGGAATATTTTATGCTGTCCATGTTGATGGGCGGATTTTGTTGTTGTTTTATGTTGATGTGTTGTGTTCACAGCGTTAGTGAGCTCTACGTGGACAACCCGGAAAAAGATAGCACGGGAAAAATAGAAGTTAAGCTGAATATCAGCCTCCTGAATTTACAATGCGATGGTCAGTAATAATGCACCCATGCATGCTTATATATGTACATACATGCATCCACCATGAGGGGCATCGCAAGATGCACCTCACCTAGGTGCACCCTAAACCGCATCCGCACAAACCATGGCAGATGCGGATACCTGATGCGCAAATGAAACATTTTTAACTATCCAGTTTGCGAATGTGGTCATCCAGAACAGACCGTGCAACGTATAATGACGCAATGCCCGATCCACAAATGCGACGGAGACATCACAGCGACGCACTCCGCTACTCATAACGCGGTTATCTGGCTTGACCACCTGAATGTGAAATTTTAGTTGTTGCTCTGCATCTACATCGGCCATCCGAAACAAGAAGAAGAACTGCAAGACGCAATAAGAAAGATATTAAGAAAAGGTAAAGGGGCAGGACTGCAAATTGCTTGCTCACGCCGCTGCTGGTGGAAGGGCCTCCAATACAGGGAGCTTGAGAGTACTCCTAGAGAGAGGGGGCATTTTGCCCCCTGCTCAAACACGCTGTCCAGAAGTCTTAGAAGAGGTGAGAGTACCCACACTTTACCCCGCCACACATGGCCTGCCTCCTTCACTGACTGCGGTGTATACACTGGGAGATTATGCCGGCGACCTCCACATTTAGACAACGGCAGAGCAAAGGGAACGTAATGCCACGTGCCATTACCATTCGCAACGGCTGCTTGTAAAATAGCCATGTAATGCTTTAATGGAGCCACCACGTGGAATGCTTTTGAATGCAAAACAAACAGAGCCACCTTGTAAACGAGCTTTTTTGCAGTTCAATGGACTACTCTGTATACAGTTACTCAATTGAACGTAAACAAGGACTTCTTGTAAAACTAGACGCACGATTCAGCTTAATGGGAGCACACACAGGCTCTCTCTAATATCTGCAGTGGCACCACTACTTGTGTACCCCTAAGGATATCTTAATCGATATGAATGACATTCACTCGGTATACAAATATAGTAAGAGTAATACTCTTTACCCAAAACTCATTGAGTGTCAAAACTATATTTTTTCATGAGGGTGCTGATTTGGAACGTTTGCCCAATTACATTTTTCACGAGTGTTTGGCTCCTTGTGGGAAGAAATTTGAGTACCAATAGAACGCTCGCGGATTTGAGAAAGTAATGCTCAAAGCGCCGGACGGATGGATTCATTACGTCCTCGCTACAACGCCCATTTCCTGGCCATATTGTAGCCCAAGCCTACTCTGAAAAGCATTGTGTGGTGCGTGGATCAGATGCATGCATGTATGTAGAACTTCTTTTGCACCGTACGTAGCCAACCGTGATCAGGACACAAGATGAAGCCAAGTAAAAACTAAAAATATCGGGCTTCATGTAAACGCACTGCCCATTCAACTTTCAGACAAAATAAAGCTGGATAAAAATAGTGCTTATTAATGCAATTTTTTGGGTATATTCCACTATTTTTACTTCCACATTCGTCTTTATAGCCCTTCTAAAACATCATTAGGAATTAAATAATTTGCCTACTCAGTGAGTTATGATTGTCGACTGGATTTGTTTAATTCAGGAACTTTATTTGAATGTCAGCGTAGAGATCGGCAAATCACCATTGTGTCTGTCTATATAAAGAGTTCCTATTATAGGAAACATTATTTTTAGTGCCTTGGAATGTTTTGCATTTTTTGACAATTACGTTTTGATTCAGACATTAGAATACTTTTATAAATTGGCACATAGCTGAACTTACGTAATAGACACAAAATAACTTAAATGGTTGAGGAAACATTTAAGTAATGTGCAGAAAATAGCAGTGATTTCATTAGCATAATCCAAATTGGTGATGTCACATTCGTACAAATATATATAAAAAGTCTTTGCACCTCCACTAATGAATTGTGTGATGATAAAAATATATTATTGGGCCTTTTTAGCTAGTTATCACGACATCGCTTAAAAAAACAGAAACCAAACTTTGAAAGGCGATAACACACAACACTCAAGCTAAACAATGACAGCTGTTTAAATAAAGGCATCACAAGACAGACCTAAATATTGGGAATCTTGGGCTGTGAGTTGACAGCTCTGATCTGGCATGTGGGCACAATGACAAAGATCCCCCATAGAGCCTTAACAGACTGTTAAGGCAAGTGCTGTTATCAAGCACCAATGAAGGCCAGATTGGCACACGAGGGGGTGGGTGACCAGTACCACACCCGGCCGCCTTTGTCTCATTCGTGTCGATGTTTACACACCATACAAGGTACTCGTTTGAGGCTGAGTCGACCTAGGTGAGGTTCCGGACCGTTTCAGATAATCGTCGCTGGTGTTGGCCTTGAGCACGAATGGAACTCAGGCCGCCGGGTTCGTAGCGCAGCGCGCTAACTGTGACATCACCGCTCCCTATGTGGTCACGCCAACGTGTACACACGTGGCAAGTAGAGGCCTGCTCGCAGGCAAAGCGCCGAACCCATTCCAATTCCACAGAAAGTGATCCCCCCTGGCCCACCCCCCGCCCTGCTGCAAACAGAGTGTGACTCTTCTGACAGTGACACACCGTGCCTTAAATAGCATCGGGCAGCAGCTTCGGCTGACTCGACGTGTTTCGGCATAATTAAAGAATTCTTTTGCAGCTGCACCCAGCGGTGCTGTGCCTTCCGGGGTACCACAGACTGACAAGTTGAGAGGCAGGGAACGGACTCAGAATAGACCTCTGCTTCACTCACCCTTGTTCGGATGTGGGCTGTGACTAGCCGTGGCTCTGTGAGAAGCACTAGGTTTGTTCATCAGTTGTCGAGTTGTCGATAACCAGGTACAGACCCTATTATTGATTTGAAAAGTCATGGGAACGACAATCAAATCCAGTTCCATTGCAGCAACGGTGGAATAAGTCGGCACTCGAGAAAGTTCAAACCGTGCAGCACGTTTGAATGTCATTTGTCGCATGCCAAACCCATTACATGATATATACACACACACATATATATACAAATCTGCAGCCCTTGGCTGGATGAAGGCCTTACTGTTATACTGGGCATGGTATGCGTCTGACCATACTTCGCTGGTCAGTGTGGGTTGGTGAATGATGGTAAATCACCATAGAGAGCACCAACTGTGGCTCTCCGAGTTCCACCAAGGACTCTGTGAGTGCTCTGATGTGATGTTTTTCACGGTGGTAGTTGTCACACATCATGCAGTGCCCGTAAACCAAAAACAATGATGAGGTTTGTATCGGAGAGATCAAGGGCTCCCATTGCTCTGTGTACCGAGTTGTGAAATAACTCTTAATCATCCACTGGTATTCAGTTTCGAGAAAGTGCGTTGCTGTTGACTGCGAAAGAGTCAACGATATTTCATGAACACCTGGCAACAATGTGTGGTGAAATATAAATGAATTCATTGTTATTCTTGGTTCTGTCGGTAAAATCACTTATATAGAAAACAAAAAATATAAATAATAAAGGAAAAAATAAATAAATTGTTTTGATTATTCTAAATGTATTATTTTTATTATTATTTTATTTTTTATTTTAAGTAAAAAAAAATATTTGTTGTCTTCTATCTACGTGACTTTACCGAAAGAACCAAGAATATGAATTCCTGCAGTCACGAAAGTTTAAAGTCAAAATTGATATTCATTCTACGTAGGGTGTTGAGATGTTAACTACCTCGCCTGGTATACAGGTGGTTATGGGTTCGATCCCGACCCTGACACCTGTATATTTGGAGTTTGCACGTTCTCCCCATAGTCGTGTGGATTTTTTTTCGGGTCCTCCGGCTTTTCCTTCCACATTTATAAATATGTGTTTAGAGTATTTGTCGTGTTATGCATTTCCACATGATAAGCCACTTCATTGACCTATCATCTGTGACCAGGTCGCTTATGAAAAAGAGCTGTAAAAGAAAAAATAATAATTTCGTTTTTTTAGATGCTATACATATCAAAATCCTAGCGGATTTTTTTGAATAGCATTTACCACGTAAACCTGGCCTGCATTTCCGCCGAGGTCCTCAGTCCAAGATGATAACTTGCTATGGCGTGCTCAGAATCTGCACTGGGGAAACCAGCGGCCATTCACAAAGTAGTGGTTGCATCACTGCTCACACGTGTGCCGTGCCGGTCTTTGTGGGCTCCGGCTTAGCGGCGCTTGCCCAAGACGGTTGTCTCCGTTGCTTAACCGGAGTTTTTCCCTCTCCCCCTTCCAGTGGTGGGTTTGGACATCCAGGATGAGATGGGGCGGCACGAGGTGGGGTTCATCGAGAACTCGATAAAAATCCCACTCAACGAGGGCAGCGGCTGCCGGTTTGAAGGAGTTTTCCTCATTAACAAGGTGTTCAAACGTCACGTATCTGCGGCAATTTACATTTGGGGTATTTTTACATTATTATTGATGTTACGAGCCAAAGGGAAAATGTATCAACATATGCTTTTTACTTCTACGCAACAGGCCTTCATCAAAGCCTCACTTGAAGAACCAATTTTAATAAATAGATGTTTAACCCCTGTGGAGGATAGAAAGAGTCAGATTATAAACAAGAGAGTACCATCGCACGTTAAATAATGAACACATTGTGAAATATGCCTCTGCCCATGAAATACTTTGTTTATTGGCCTATTAAGTTGTTTAACAGGCCTGACTGCTGACAAGAAACACTGATTATAATCGAAACCGGTCCACAGTCTGCCTGCAGAAAAACAATGGCCTGGAAGTCCCAAATGTCGATGGACAGAAAAGAGAGTGAATCCTATTTTACGTGCAGTGACAGATACGTTGTGCGCTCATATTCCCATCACCCGTGGTCATTAACGCCAGACATTTTTTGTTCGTCACTTGTAATTCCGGTGCCTGATCGGCATTATGCGATTCACGCTTGAAAATCGTCGAGCCGACCGCCATGTAAGTAATGATACAACGATGTAGCCTTGACAGCTATTACAGCCGCAACCCGATTCTCGCGGTGCATCACCGTTCGGTCCCCCGTTATCGGTAATCCTTATTTCGCAATTGACAAGGCTCACTTCGCAGGCCTGCGATGGGTTCCCCTACGGGGGCACGGGGTGGCGGAAATTGCAAATATTTCAGGTGGAGGGCGAGAGTGAGAATGAAAGTGCAGCCTGCGAATTACTTTTTTTTTTTGCGATCAATATACAGTACGGCCTTATTTTTTTTTTTAACGTCGGCAAAACGCGTGTCTAATGCTTGCAGGTCCCGGGCAATTTCCACATGTCGACGCACAGCGCGCTCATGCAGCCAGAGAAGCCGGACATGACGCACACGATCCACAAGCTCACCTTTGGAGAGAAGATTTATGTAAGCACGAGAAGGCAGAGAGGTTATCTCTGTGCACACAGGCTGCATCGCTGCTGCCCGCCGCTGCCGCTGAGAAGAACTGATGTTAGAACGCCACGGGAAGTGCGGCTCTTTAAATCGCAAGGGTCATTTTGTAACTTGGGGGTGGAGCGGTGGCGAGTGGTGGTGTCGTCAACCCATTAGTGGCAGGGGGGGGGGACCTGAGCACAAATTATAATAAAAATTGTATTCAAGTATTTTCAGAGCGGCCCCCACACCCCCTTTCAGTTTCTAAGCTCCTAGTGAGATGACAGAAGAGATTGTGGACAGCAGGAAGAGATTTAGTGAGATGAGAGAAGAGATTGTGGACAGCAGGAAGAGATTTAGTGAGATGACAGAAGAGGGCTGCAGGCAAAATATAAATGAGATTCTTGAGAAATTTGGATTTTTATGTTTTTTAAGGATAAGTATTCGAGCTGACATTTGGTGCATCTTTTATTTTTCTAAATCCGGGGGGCCCCCTTCAGCTGCTTGGGGCCTTTAGCTTCCGCTTACTTTGCCGATGCCTAGCGCCATAGCCGGCGGTGGCACAGTGGTTAGTGCACTGCTGTACGAACCCAGCCACCTCCATTCGATTCCCAGCCACGGCTAGCATTTGCGGCGAGTGATATCTGAACCAATCGTCCCGGGTGCCTTTTTCACCTACCTACACTGACCGGCACGGTGAAGCATGATCAAACGACCTTCATGACGGATATAGTGCGGAGATATCTTTACGAAGCAGTGGGTTGTCAGAGGGCTGTACATTTCTTCGTGATTTGCAAAAAAAAAAACACGTGCAATTTAAACATTGTTGGGCTCTGCGTATCGCATTCTTACGTCATGTTTGTTTGGTGTTTTTGTTGTTGTTTTACTTTGTTTTTAAAGGGAGCAAACATTCAGGGTGCATTCAACGCCTTAAAGAACACCGATCGCATCGAATCAAACCGTGAGTTTTATTGTACACGGCGTTCCCGTTCTAACGCGCATTCACTTTCTTAGAATTTACTGAGTATTATGTTCAATTTCCTTGGAATACACACAAGCAAATGAAAACAATTAAGTACATTACAGAGACACTACGAATCCAAATGATCATTTTAAGTAATATATGGGTAATTATACACTAACGGAATAAAAAGGGCAAGTGCGTAAGAACATTTAGAAACTGATGAGTGATGCTTCTGTGAAATTATTCGATTTTCAGGAATTGTATGCCATGCTGTGGTTCCATTTATGTACAATTGACATTTAACCAAATTTAAACATGAAAAATATTCTCATTTATCTTTCTAGATAGCTAGAGTTGTAACTGTGCACTCGCCAGCGATTCCGATGAATTGTCACGATTTGATGCACGTCTCGTCTCCCTAACATCCCATATACCACGGTGGCGTGAGGGGCGCCGTGGTGGTGTGATGTTAGATACCTCGCCTGGTATGCAGGAGGTCGTAGGTTTTATTCCGACCCTGACTCCTGCTGTATATTTGGAGTTTGCATGTTCTCCTCGTGGTCACGTGGATTTTTCTGCAGGCCCTCTGATTTTTCGCTCCACATTTAGAAACACACGTTTAGAGTATTTGCCTGCGATAAAATTCCACATGACAGGCCACTAAGTTGGGCTATCATTTGTGGCTAGGTCACTTCTGAAAAAGAGCTATATAGCTCAGCGGGCCGTACCTGGTAAAATAAAAAATAGTGTAGGTGTAGTTTAATTTATATACACCCACATAGTATGTGGGTATCCAACTCGCCAGCATTGCCCACCATGAAATGTAACCGTCAGTCACCTTTACGGACTGATTCATGATAAACGATGAGCTGTAGCACTTGTTTTTCTTCACAGCTCTCTCCTCCTACGATTACATCATCAAGATTGTGCCGACGGTCTATGAAAACCTTCAAGGACACCAGCAACTCTCTTACCAGTACACCGCAGGATTCAAGGTGAGTTGAAGGAGCTTCATGGATGACAGTGTACCATGGCAATTGTTGTCAACCATGGTCAATGGGCTGCTGGATGAAGGCCCCCCCAAGCCACCGCCGCCTCTCAGGATCCTGCGATACAACAATACACTGGCACAGTTAAAAGGGTAAAACCTATTACTATATCTTGTTACTGGCAAAGGAGGTCTCATAATGTAAAAAACAATACACTTGGCACCTGCTTGCACGCCAGCTGATTTTCATGGGTCCCACCTCCTCGGTGGGCATCCTCTCGGATGTGCGTTCCGTTCCTTGGTATATTGTCACGCAAAAAAGTGTAGCAATGGTTCATGATGGGCTGCTAAAGAGTAATACACTACCTCAAGTGAGATTTCAAAATGAGAACCACTTGAGTTGGTTCTTTTAATAAAAAAAATTCCCTCTCAATTTTATACCAATTGTTATCTCAGTGCCACGTCGTGAGATGAAGTGGCCGGTTGTAACTCTTCCAGGGCTGTTATAGAGAATGTCCCATCGCAGAACGTCTTCCGAAATCTCTACACGTGACCCCTTTGTCAAAATAGAGGTGTCGTACTTTCCAGTGCGCCCTGCTGTAGAGATGTTTGTTCCGTGGTTGTCGAAACAATTTTTTTTTAATTCCCACAGCGGAAAATGTTAACCAAGGGAAGTAAAAAAGTTATTTAATATAATTGGGGTTTTTTTTGTACAGTCATTGGTGACCGGGGTGAGAATCTGAACCCGCTACTTGGGAGAACCCGGTTGAATCACAGATGATCACCGTGTTTAGACCCAGGTCTCAGCGGCTCCGGCTCAGTGTTATGACCCGCCAAGCCACCCGGCCACCTGTGTTTTACGTTTTCAATTTAAATAAAAAATAAACAAATCTTTCTGTGCATCGTATGTGATTTATAACTGATGTGGAGACTGTGAATCTGTGTATGAGAAGTGGTTAAAAATGTTCATAGCAAGGTGTTAGAATAATACACAGACATGTAGTAGCTTGTTTTTTTTTTAAATAGTTTCCCCCCCTCATACAGGGTGACCCAAGAATGAGTTGATCCACAATAGGCATACATGGTTATTTACAGGACATATATATTTTTTTATTTTTAATATAAAAACGACAATAGGTAATTGCATCAACATAAACATAAGCATGTGTTAGTCCAAAAGTCGAGGGACATTTTTTCAAACAGATGATGAGCAGGACCCTCGAATTCCTCTGTGATTTTTCAGCCACTGTCGCCTACTCCAGCTTGGGGCTCTTCCAGCTTGAAATCAAACTACAACTAAACTTTTTTTATTTATAAGGCCCACTGAGGTATGTAGCTGTTTTTCATAAGCGACCAGGCCATAAATGATAGCTGAACGAAGTAGCATATCAAGCGGAAATTTATAGCGGTCAATTACTCTAAACGCACGTTTATAAATGTGAAGGGGAAAAACCGGAGGAATCGGAGGAAAATCCATGCGACCACGGAGGGAATATACAAACTGCAAATATACAGACTTCGGGATCGAACCCACGACCTCCTCTATACCAGGCGAGATAGTTAACATCTCGCCACCGGTGGCACCATTTTTTTGTTAACACAGAAATCAAATGTCTGTGTGTCTGTTAAGTGTTCAGATTGTTTGCCTTCGTTCTTTACACATTTTTGGACGACAACCTCTCTGTCACGCGATAAGAGAGATTCGCTAGCAGAAATCCGTTTTGTCTCTCGTCACCGCGTCTCTTTCATCTTTGCCCGGAAATGTAAATGAAAAATAAATAATAAATAAAGGACAATTGCGGAATTATTATTATTATTAAAGTATTTTTAATAATTGATTAGACGAATGCTAAAATAGTTGGAAAATAATCCTGGCTGTGGCACGGTGTTAATTTTATCGGCTGCTCACATTCACCGTGTTGTTTGTTTACGCCTCCTATGTAGATATATCAGCTATATAATTTAATATTAGCACCAATAAACTTTGCACATTTCTATTTTAGTCACTGCAGAAAAAAAAGATGAGGCTCATCGTTCACTTCCTGCACGCTGTGGGTTATAATTACGCTCATTAAATACATTGATTTGATTAACAACATGTGCAATAATTAACTTCCACGCCAGCAAAGGGCCCACATTTTCATCGCTGTTCAACGTTATATTTATCATGAAGGCCGCCCCTAATGTCCTGGTTTAGTTTAGTTGGCCTCTGTAAAGTGTCGCTGTCAAATGTGTAATAGCTAATGGAACCGAATCGAAGCTAAGTTGTGCAGGAGGGCGTGAAAGCAATTTGCTAATTGATGGCAGCAGCAGGTTTGTTTGTGTAACTGGGACAAATTCACGGCACCCTCTCTTGAGAAAAAAACCCCCAGGTACAGTGCATGGTGGCCCAGTGAGCTGACAGCTCGGAGAGAGACTGGATACGTAGCCGGATCTGTTGACAAAGTCAGTCTCTGTTTACACACAGGCACCACTCTGGCTTTAAAAATGTCCATTTCCTTCCGGTTCGGCACGGCTGGTGTTTCATGTGGCTTTAAAAGGATCACAGTTGTCTTTTAATCTCCAGCTGGGGGGCGGGGGGCAGGGGGGGGGGGTTGGGAGGAATGGGATTGGATATGGGCCAGGAGGAAGAGAAGGGGAGGGGTGGGTGGATCGCTAGGTGTGTGTGGTGTTAGGTTCAGGCAGAGGGAGAGGTGATGTTCAGTGGGGTGATTGAATGGAGGTTACGGGAGCCACCAGTTGGGGTGGTGGGGGCGGGGTGCGCGGGGGGGGGCATTTCCCTGATTGGATTTCACGCGGCGCAGGCCGCGAATTTGGCTCCCGATGCTCATCAGCAGATAGCACCTGCCAAGGCGCTGGCCACTTTGATGTAAGGCAGTCGGTGTGGAACTCGGCCACTTGACTGGGGATGTGAATTGGCTTACTTGTGAAAACGACCAAGCGCTTTGTTGCCAGATGGGACATTCGTCCAGGAAGTGTCCCCTTTTTTTTTTACAGCCGCAGGCCATCCAGAGAAGTGGCCCTGCGGTGTGATATTAACTCGGACCTGAAAGGTTCCACAAGACAGCAGTGTGCATCACTGCCTAAATCCTTAGCCAAAATGTCAACGAGTTTTAGAGGAATACACTTAGCCTCTGCAAACAAAGGAGGTGAGCATCGAGCTACGTGCGTATACGAGTCATCCCAATGTTGCTGCCCTTGTTCGTAAAGATTAGTTGGGATTGAAAGTTATTTTTAAACAAAAATACAATTGTCTTAGATTGTAGGCATGTCTGCTTCATTGTCACATTGTGTGTTCTCCCTTGTGCCTCAAAAACAAATCTAGTTACCAACATATATCCTGTTCGTTATTATGGAAGGGAGCTAAAACTGCTCAAAGCGGCTTTGCAGGGAATGTCAAAATGAACGAGAGCTTTTGAAACGAAGGATAATTTTTTTTGTTTCTGCCGAGGTGGCATTTGCCCACCGGAAACAATTCCAATTATCGTTATGATGTAAGGAAACATTTAAATCTATTAATCTGCTTAGCCCATAAGGGGATTAAGCTGAGCTTTTTTCTTGGTGCCATTCCGGCCACTGTTTAATGGCAGCATCGTTTGCGCACTTCCGCGCCGCGTAAACAACCGCGACATTCGCGTTAGCACCCTCGCACATGTGCACGTGTGTCTCGTGCCATCCTGGGGCGGTGTCATCGCGCGTTTGCGTGCACGTGTGTGTGTGTGCGTATGTATGTTGAACTTTTTTGCGTACCGTACGTAGCCAATGTGTGCTCATCGGAGCTGCGGGGGCCTGTGCCGGCGTTGACGTGCATCCATGTGCCGAGCGGTGGCACGGTGGTTGGTGCACAGCGGTGATTAAAGTAACCAATTCTGGCCCTCCCCTAGGCCGAATGAGCCTCAAATATGTACCTGCTGTGGTATGTAAAAATCAGCACTTGGGGAGACAAAGGTGTGCCGTGCGTGGTCACCTCGTACGCCCACGGCACTCACCTTACTTGTGGCTTTGTGCGTCCACCCTTGTCCACCCCACGCATGGTCAGGAGTACATGGCATACAGCCACACGGGGCGCATCATCCCGGCCATCTGGTTCCGCTACGACCTGAGCCCCATCACTGTGAAGCACGTGGAGAGGAGGCAGCCCGTGTACCGGTTCATCACCACGGTGAGTGAGCGCCGGCGCCACCAGTGTTGCTCCAAAATGGTCGGATTTTTATTATTATTTGCGCACGAAGGACAAAGATCTCTCGCATACGCACGCGATGTCAGCGAGCGCATATGAAAGGCGTTACACACCCCAGTGCTAATGGCAACACACCCCACACCAGTCACTAACTCATGGCTGAGTAAACCTAGTGCCAGTCACAGTACAGGCTCCAACACCGCTTGCCGACTGATGTTAGCCATGGTTGGAAATCGAAACTTAGGTCACTGGGTGTGCTAACCAGACTGCGGCAACGCTCATCAGAAGCACACATGCACACATGCACACACACATTGTCATGTATATATTGACACATCCATAGACATGTAAATTGGCAGTCTCATGCACACAATGAAGGATGAGCGATCTACCAACTCTGCATCTAAAATCATTGAGTCCAGGGCAGCAACGTTCGCGCGCCCAAAAATTCGTTCTCCGGTTTTATTGTTGAAAATTAATTATGTATCAGGGGAGTCGGTGGGGGGTGGAGGGAAGTGGTGGTGGGGGAGGGGAGGATTTGTCCAGCTCAGAGATTGACTTGGGTGACTCACAGTTGCATTTTTTTTATCCGGGTCAGTAGGGGTTAATTCCCACTGTCCTCGTGAATCATGCACAGCATTCGGAGCACGCCACCGGCTCTTTAGACGGGAACGGGGGCGACACATCCCGTCCGACGCCCCACGGACGCGATCGCCCTCTCCTGAGGACTGCGGCCCGGAGGAGGGTTTGTCCCCTGCTAATCCCGGCCCCAATGCCACCATCTGTGGTCACCTGACTCTAAACCTTGTGTGGTCACCTATGCCGGCCCCGGCCAGGTTTGGACCCCGCTCGTTGGCTTGAAGGATGCCAATAAGGTCAGGCTGCAGGAAGGTATGCCCTCCGTGGCCTCTGGAAAAAAGATAAGCTGCCGTGAGTGGAAGGGGATCTAAAACATGCACGTTTGGGGAAATGTGTCGCGGCTCCGGCCATCTGCGCCGGCTGTGGCGACTTTTTAAAATTAAATGCCACGAGCTGAGCTGTCACATCCTATTCTCACTTCCACTCACTTTGTGGCATCTGACGCCTTCGGTACAGAGAGCATTGGGTTCTCGACACGTGAACAGGTGTTCACATGTCAATTCTGTCGAGACGCCGCTACTGAAACAGCAGCTGAACAGTGGCAGGAGTGTGTCGGTGAGCGTTGTTTCATGAATTTATTCTTTGACGGTATGTGTTGGTATATAAGAATACCGAATAGCATTCTTATTTGCACTAAAGATGTACATCGGGGTGCTGGTGTACACAATAACGTTCAGTCACCGTCGGGAAAGAAGTGTACAGGCAATGGCCTCCATCTGCCTGTATTCCCATAACGCAGCCAAACTTCTCTTTTGTCCTGCAGAGAAAATTTAATTTCGCAAAATTGGTACCTTAAATGAAAATTATACCGTGTTTTACCCCTCCATTTTGATCGCCGAAAAACGATTTAAGTGCGGCTCTCTGCACCGTTCTCCCTCTCGTTTCCTCCGACACCATAAAAAAACACGCGCGCACACACACAAAAGCCACCGTTCACCCATCAACAAATGGGAATGGCGTGCTGTGGAATCCACCATTTGGCAACACTGCCAGTGACATTTCTGTGTTTGAATTTCCGGCGCCGGCAAAAGCTTTGGCGATAAACCCACCGACCGAATGTGTGGCGCCCGTTGCCAAAAGCTCTTTGTTTAAGCGAGAGTGCACCTGCTTCACGCACTGCTGCGATAAACATGCTTGGGTGTGAGACGGCGGTGTGGATTAGCACAGTAAGGCACTTTACGGTGCTGGAAGGGTGCCGGGGAGATGCTGGGCGGGTTTATGGGATGTGCGGGGAAAGGAGCAGGTGGTTGTGTTGGTGGTGGTGGTGGTGATCGTAGTGATGGTGCTGCTGGTGGTATTGGTTATGGTGGTGATGGTGCGGTGCTGGTGGTGGTTGTCGTGCCGGCGGTGCAGCTTCTGGTTGTAGTGGTGGCGCTGATTGTTGCTGTTGGTAGAGGTAGTTGTGGTGCTGGTGTTTGTGGTGCTTGAGGTGGTGGTGTTGCTGGTGGTGGTGGTAGTGTGTATAGCGGAGTGGTAGTGGCTAGTACGCTGCACCATAAACCCGGTGACCCGAGTTGGATTCCCGTTGAACCGGTCGCAGACCCCCCTGAGCTCGACTCAGCCTCAAATGAGTACCTAGTGTGATGCGTGAACATCGCGGCTAGGGAGACAAAGGCGGCCGGGCGTGATGCTGGCCACCCCCACCTCGTGTGCCGTGACGGTCTCCTTCATAGGTGCTTGCTCACAGAATTTCACTCAACAGTCTTTTAAGGCTATCCGAGGGATCTTTGTATTTTGTGGTGGTGCTGGTGGTGTTATTGTTGGCGTTGGCAATGGTGCTGCCCCTGCTGCTGTTGATGATTGTTGCTGTTGATCTGCTGCTGTTGCCGACACGACGCGGAAGCTTTGGTCGTGGGAGCCGGCCCCGGGGGGGGCGGTGGCGGTGGGTCGGGCGCTCGGTGACCGGGATGCTGACGGCAGTTGACGTAGGCCGCTCCCCTCCGCCACCCCCTCCCTGCCTGTCGAGCGTACGCACTTCCTGTGACGGCACCACCGACTCGATTACAAGCGACCGTGTCGGCCCCCCCCCCCGCCCCAACGTGGCCATCCGCATGCCGAACTTGATACAGGGGCAGAGGCTGGCCCAGGGCTTCCCGGTGCTGCCCTTCTTGTCTCTGGCTTGTCCGGACTGAAACCCGATCCGGCCGCTTGGCACGGAGCACAACAACAACAGAAAAAAAAGAAGAAGAAAATTCCCCTCCACCCCCTCCGTGGAGGTATTCATTGGCTGCTGTCTTCATGCGGATGTTAAAGATTCCATGACACCCTCGGGTTGGACTTGGCCGTGGCTAAATTCAGATGCCCTCTGCAAGTGTTGCATTATGTAGGGATACGAGTACGCGGGTCGTGGGTTTGTCCGTACGTGAGCGCGTGGATGTGTGTGGTCATAAGCGCTTACGTGAGTGTTGATTATTTGTTATCGTCTACTTTATAAGCAGGCGAGAGCACGGTGAGACTTACCGTCTGCTCATCCAGGGAGGATCTGGGTCAAAGAAAGCAGTGCAGTAAACGTGTGATGAAGGTCAATAGCAGTGGCATACATAACCTTAAATTATACAAAGAGCATTAAGCATTAATGACAGCCGAACATTAAACTTTAAATAGAACTTTAGTTTAAATAGAATATGGCCTGTCACCAACCCGCACGGGTCAACGTGGTGACAAAACCCCATGAGCAACACAGTGCAGGGAGGTCTTCATCCAGACGTGGATTGACAGAAGGCTGTAAATTATACTCATTGTATTAAATACATTTTACACACGGCATCAAGTAATGGTAAGAATCACTTTCATTCATACTAACTGAGGGATTAGTCTTAATTTCCATGACATACAGCGCGAAAGAAGTGCAACATACATGACTAGGATTGGTTATTAATATAACAGATGCGGTAATATTACACATGTCAGAAGGCACGATCAAAGCCTGTTTGGAAATGAACTCGTGGAATATGTTGCACAGATCAAATCTCACGTCAATTCCGTACCATCTTTGTACATAAAAAAACTATCACTGTCGGTCAAGGTCAGTCCACTGCTGGATGATGGCCTCCCAAACCACCGCCGTCTCTGATGATTCTGGCACGTAATAATCCAACCCGCACCTGTGCAATGGGGAAAAAATAAAACATTCTTGAGATAATGCCCAGGCCTCACCTTGAAGGGTTGTTTATGAGTCGTCAATCTTTACGAAAGTCTTCATTAGACAGACATTACATCGGCATACGAGTCATGTGAATGAGTGGATTTGCAAATGGCTTGGCTACCACCCTAGAGACACGTCATGGCCTAGCCCACTCACTGATCTTAACAGTTTGAAGAATGGAATTAAACTGCATATGTTATTGTATGTGCACTCCTCGTGCAAATGTAGTAAATTGTGGCGTATTAATAGCATTTGTGTAGGGTGATAACTCGAGCACCTGGTTTCAATCGGCATATATAGTTTGTTCTCAAAACATTTAAAACAGTCCTGTAATATGTTTCTAGTTTATAGTGTATCCGCACATGTGAGTGTGATTAGCCAATGGGGTCCGCATTTAGTTGATAACCCTGCATTGATTTAATGAGAGGGAGATAATTACTGGGTACAAACTCACCAATAAAAATAAATCATTTCTTGCCATGAGCAATAGTATATTTTTTTGTAGAACAATGTGTTAATTGCCTTGTGTATTTTTAGGCACGGCGTCTTACATTAATCTAAATTTGTTTTGCGTTACATGGGGAAAGTGGCCCCACCAGAAAAAGGGAGAGTGTGGGTGCCCTCTATCGTTCCCCAGGGAAGGGCTGTGATGAAAATAAGAGTTTCATCACGGTTATATAATTTCGGAGCATGCGCCGTCGGAACGTGCATGTTAGGCTATTTATCATTCCGTATCAGGTTAGCTTGAAAGTAACTCGCTTGCCAATGCAACCTCTAAGGTATCGCCAAGCCTGCTGTTATGTACGCCTGTTAGTTGGGGGTAGGATGATTTGATGAATTGTTGCAATTCCGGATCATGATTCTCTGGGGGGGGGGGGGGGCGGGGTGATTTTTAAAGTTCATTGAATGATAGTGCCTCTAGTGGCTGCGAAGGTGACGTTAACCAATTACGTAAAACATACAAAAAATGTACAATTTATAGACCCTCGTCAATCCACGCTGTTGGATGATTGCCTCTGCACGCCCAAGCCTGGATTTGAACCTGGCATCTTAGCGGCTCCCGCTCACTACTCTGACCTCGGAGCTACCCGGCCACCTCCAGCAATGTCGCCCATTAACAGCACAGCCTGAATACCCGACGACGGTACGTTGCGATGCAGTGTTCAGGACCACCACGACAATGGAATGCCGTCGGTCAGCACACTGGATTTGTAATTCGGACATCACCGGTTTCGAACTCCTGGCGCGGCAGTTGAAATAATGGTGCGAGTTCCCTCAATATTCCCACCTCTGTCCATCCAGCAACATTTAGTAGTTACACCCCACTGAGTCGAGTGGCAAGTCGCGTGCGGTCGGATAAAGTGTGAGTACTCCCCGCCTCTTCAAGGACATTTGGCCAACGTGGAAGAGTAGGCCAAATGCTCTCTGTCTGTCAATAATTATCTATTCGTCAAGGCTCTTCCGTGAGCAGTGGCACAAGCAAGACAACGGAGGGCCCACACCTTTGTATCGCCTTTCTGCCAAAACGCTGCTTCTCTGTTTTCCTCGCCAGATATGCGCCATCGTGGGAGGTACCTTCACCGTGGCCGGGATCATCGATTCGGTCATCTTCACCGCCTCCGAGGCCTGGAGGAAAGTGCAGCTCGGCAAGATTCAGTGAACGTCCCCAAGCTTCGACGTGGTCCGGCCCTCCTGATGAGCTCCCCTCGGACTCGTAGTTGGACTTGTATTTAAATATGAATTTGCTGGGAAGGTGGAGGGAAATTAAATTGTGGGGTTTACTGGGTGGAGGGTAAGTGGCAAAAAAGCATTTCTGTATAAATTCCCCTGCGATGGGAGTAAGGCTTAATTTCAATTGGCACCGTGGCCTCAAATGCACGCTGTCACACTGCAAACTTTTAAAACATATTTTGTTTTGGAACAATTTTTAAAACACCGTTCTGTTTCAACGTAAAGTAATTCATATAAATGGGTGGAATAGAGATACTGAACATTATTTAAATGTACTTGTTTTCAGGCCAAATGAATGTTGGCACATTCCCCTGTGAATGTTATCAGTTTACTAAAATAGGAATTGGGAAGCACTCACGCTTGAGTATTGCATTTTGTAAATAATAGATTAACTAAAATAACATTGGTTGCAAGCCATTTGGCTATTCCAAAATTATCTTGTTTAGAGAAGTTGGCAACTATATGTAGAGAAGTTGCCTTCCGTTGCGTCCACATCGCTTCATTTGTTTTGCAGGTTGTGCCGGGGTTTTCTCTTCTTCCATTTAGCCTGGTTTTAAAAACGTGTGCGGATTTAAACAGGCATTTTAAGTCAACACATTTTTAACGGCCTTTTTTCATTCAAATTTAAGCCCAAGTCAGGATGTTGGCCTGGCGAAAAAGATAGCGTGTCTATGGCAATATTATTTTCCATGTTAATTCACCAAAGGGAGGTATTTATTTGGGAGGTGGAAGAATCTAACGGTAACCGTTGAAAAGTCCTGTTTTTGAATGGTTGCCATATTTTTCGATTCGAATAGGCCAGCAAGGATGGGCATTTCTTCAAAACCCAACTGGCCAGTTGGCTTAGCGGTAGATCGAGCGGTTCGCAATCAGAATTTTACGAGTTCATCTCGTGCTTGGGAGTTGACTCAGCCCATCATCCCTCCGGGGTTGATAAAGTAAGTTACCCATTTTGTGAGGGAAGCCAACAGCGGTTGTCTTATGGACAGACACATCCCCGCTATAGGATAGTGTTGAATGTCCACCACCGGCTCAGCTGTCAACAGGAAATGCCGCGTGCGAATCCCCCGTAAGATGGGATGCATTCCATTACCCCAATGCTTGTTTTGCGAATGACGAATGATAAACACTTGTATCGTCACGACGCATTAAATATCAACAGTTTGGTGGCAAGTGACAAACGTGTGCATCGCAACAACATTGCTTTGGTAAATCCTTCACCTTCCTGGGGGTGATATCATTTGTCACCTTCTGATCATCTTTCAATTGTCCGCTTTGGCGTTCGCAGGCTGATTTTAATAGGAAGATCGGATTATTTAATGGCTAATTTTCTTTACTTCCGCCTCTCATTTTAGGTGAAAGGGAAATTCTCATTTATGTAGAGAAATTCAACTTGTGTTGCGGCAATCGCTATTTAATTTTACTGGCACTACTCTGCTCAAGTACAGAAAGTCTTTATTGTAAGTGATGTGTCATTTCTCGGGGTTGCAGTTTCTACTGATATCAACTGGCCATGAATGTCAAATATATAATTTAAATACATAATAGTGAAGCACTAAAGCTGGCACCATTCAGATCCTGGGTTCCAATCCAGGCTGCTGCCTGCGATTGAACCTCATGTGTAGTGAGTTGATGGTCCGGTCACCAATGACTGCACAGGCAATCTATCGCATTACATTTGGTTCTGTACTCAATTTGGCTAAATTCCCGCTGTGAGAATTCAAAATATACTTCGACTGGCATATGACGAATCTCTCTCTCATATGCAGCTAACACTTTCCAACTGCAGTATGCATCAGTGGAAGCTTTGAGTTGGCTTTTGAAGACTTTTCGAGCAAAGCTTACACACTTAGGTGCATTTGTTTAATTTCATTTGAGCCACTGAATGTGCTTTGGTTTTAGTAAATTGTCATGATTTTCTGATGTATCTGGAAGAGATTATTTTGTTGACATAGCGTTTTGAGGTCACAGAAATAATCGTAAATTAACTCTGGAGGCCATGTCTGTCTTAGGCAAGTTGTTTCATTGCTCTCCATGGGACGCAAGCACTGATATTATGAATACTAATTGGCCTTGTTAAATATTTCTTTTCTCCAGTGTGTACTAATTAACAAGGAAATGATTAGGACCACATCTAGTGACAAAACTCTACCAATAGAAGCCGTAAAAAAAACATTTAAACAATACTACAATTAAAATATGCACCAATGAAAACGATATTTCCACAGAAAGTAAATGCTAATTTTGTTTAAACAGGGTAATAAGTACAGTGTGTGGCATTAAAAGACTACAGAGATGTCAAATATTTTGTTTTACACGTCCAGCAATTTATGGTTAAACCAGGAATTATTATTATTATTGATAAACTCGACTGGTTCATTTAAGACATATATGGATTCCTCGCTCTGTTTGCCGAGCCGTTTATGAATGACAATTTGCAGAATTCTACCTTAAACGTTGTGCAGAACTACTGGACAGTCATTGAATGTTCCGTTTATTTAATTGACATTGCGAACACAAAACTGAAATTTCACATCCTGTCTGCGCAATGGGGCTGTTACTGACGCATTATGCGGGGACTGTTGCAGTAAGCAAGATCGTGTTCCACCCACGCACATCTCTTGCAAATAAACTTCGAATCCCTGCTAAATACACTCCACAACCTTCATCGTTCCAAAGTTTCTGCACTAAAAGACGCGTCTTCTTCTTCTTAGCTGTAAAGACAGCCCAGTTCGTTGACAGTGAAATGTGAATCCATGTTCATGTTATGGTTTTTTTTGTCGTTGGTGTTTTAAATGGTGTGCCTTAAGTATGTTTCCTTCAATAAAGAGGAAGTTAAAGTGCGTGTTCCAAATGAATGATTAACACCAATATGTGCACGTGTGAAAGTCAAGGTGGACTTTTAATGGTCTTGTTTTTTGTCTAAGTTAAGAGTGTGACAAACTGATGTAGCTTGGTAAGGTAAAAAAAAACAATCTGCTGATGGACTATGAACTATCTATATTTGTTTTTACTTGTGGAAAACATAACTGAAAATTTCCTAGTGCAATATGAGATTGTGCCTGAGGCTAATTAACTCCCTTTTCATGTGTCTCAGTGTGATTTGAAGCAGGCACGTTTCCGTGCCTACGTTGCACACCTTTCAGCTTGTTCTTTTGCCCGTTTTTATAAGTCAATGTCCACATCTCTGATCCATATATAACGGGAAGAGGAACGCGTGGTTTAGTGTAAAGTGTCCAAGTTAAAGACGCAGCATTCAATTCTAGATTTTAAGCTTTGGTGACTGCAAGGATCCATACTCTTTGGTTCTATTCGGTAAAGTCACGTAGGTAAAAAATAAAACAACAAAAATCACGACGTTTCGGCCACAACACAAGTGGCCTTCGTAAGGTGAAGGGACCGTACTGTCCAGAGGACAGCGTTGGAGTGAAGACAGCCAATCCCAGGTCGCGTCCTTTGTTCTTTTGCCAGTTTTGCCGCGACCACAAGCTTAAAGGACGCGACCTGGGCTTGGCTGTCTTCACTCCAACGCTGTCCTCTGGACAGTACGGTCCCTTCACCTGATGAAGGCCACTTGTGTTGTGGCCGAAACGTCGTGATTTTTTTTTTTACCTACGTGACTTTACCGAATATAACCAAAGAGTACGCAGCATTCACTTGAGAAAAGTTATTTGGCTTGGGCAGGACACATCACTAGAAGGGAGAACGACTGCCGGTGACCAAGACTAACGATGGAGTGACAGCCATGGAAGAGAAGACGCCTGATAGGATGTCGAGCGCATAAGATGGAGCAATTAAATCAGTTTGTGTGCAGGCAGGAGCAAGACGAGATTGTTACATCGCGAGAGAGTGATCTACTTTAAGGCGATGACTTGGGGAGGCCTTCATCCGGCAGTGGATAGATCATGACTGATGATGAAGTAAACATTGGTTTCACGACAGTGAACCTGGCAGGCTTGAGACGAAGTTCGCTCCAAGCGCTCGATTCTTCTCTGAACAAACGTGCTCCATTCACAAACTTCCTCAATGTTTTTCACCCCCCCCCCCCCCTCTCCCCATGGTGCATCTCTGTGCTAATAACGTCTTTCCTTTGTGGCCGAGCCACTGGGCTTATCTGTCCCGACGTCCACGGGTGGCCACAGCTGCTCCACACCGATAGATGTCCGCGTGGTATCCAGCACACGCCGAATGCGATCCCGTGGTGAGCTGCCGATTCACACGCGCACACCGGGCACTCCCACGCTTCCCGGACGTCCGCCAAAAAATGTCAGTCGCACAAATGTGGGTTTCGAGGTAAAAAGGCTAAGGGGTGCAGCGCTGCCAATATTGTGCTCACGTCACCATCCCCACCAAGCGTAGTGACTTGGGGAAAGTGGCCTTGGTGTGGTACGCGTCGTTAGAAGGGATGGATGAGCCTCGAAGGTCGTCATCCCTTCGGTCGCCAACGAACGTGGTGATGGCGGTTATTTGTTTATTCATTTAAAAACATGAATCGAGGGCCGGAGTTTTGAAGTCGTGCATTGCGTTAATGAACCCGGTGAACCGAGATACATTTCCAGCACCGACTAATATGCGTGAGCGAGTGGTCATACGCGAACTAACATAGCATGGAGAGGCCATCCAATAGTGGTTGTGAAAGTGCTGCAGATTGGGGTGTTGGTGTTTAATAGTCGGACCAAATCACCCTGAATGCGCTCGGATGTCACTGGATCGTGTAAGCTAAGCCGGGATCGGGATAACATTGGCGGGCTAACATCAGTGGCGAGCGATAACTGAACCGTTCCTGGCCCTCCCATGCGCTTTGCCAACTTCCCATCTACCAGAAGCATACTTAACCCCCATGAAGAACATAACACGTACAGGCATTCACGTAACGTTGGTTGTAAAAAAAAATGAAGCGAGCGAACAAACCTTTTTCAACAACAGTTTATTATTTTTTACATGCGCAATGCATCGCGTGTTTTTAATGCAGTCCCAATTCTGTGCTGCCATTGTCGAAAATTATTCACGGTCACTGGGAAGGAAATGCGACATGGTTAAACATGCCACTGAATCCTCCTGGGCACCAAAGCTGAAATTACATGTGGCCTTGCGGTAATTACATGCCTGGCTTCTGTAAAAATGTGGATGAGGTCGGACAGAAGGTCATGGTGAAAGGCCGATGTGCACAAGGCTGTGGCGTTAACACGTCGAGTTAGTAGCTTATTGTTACATGTTTTTCTGCATTTTATTTTATTTGAAGGTTTTCATAATTTGTTCGCCACTCAATCTTCCACCTTTTTTCCCCCACCCAAGGATGGATGTGCGCTTGAAATGCAAAAACGTTCACAGTTCGCTTTCGGAGGTGTCACTGCCGCTTAGAAACAAGCCTGGCGCACCATCAACATGATTACATACTACATAATAAAAATAGAAAATAAATAACGTCCTTGTAACGCAGGAAAACCTTGCCGGGTCGCAAGACTTTTTTGTTAGTTTTTTTTTAACGAGGGTCCTGCTGCTTTGTGATGTTTGCCCAATCCCACGAACGAAGAACGTTGGCTTCATGCGAGACGAAATCCGGAGGACACGGTAAAAACCCACCGAGCATACGAGGAGGCGGGGCACTCGCTACTGGCAACTCCCCGAGCACCTCACAACTAACTGCGCGCCAACAACATCCGGCAGGCCCCGATGGTCATCTGTTGATGTACGATCCAGAGCCACACCTCATCAGAATCTTCACATATAGTGGAGGAGTTCGATGAGCCATAACGCTCTTTGTTCGCAGATGTCCACGGTAGGGGTGGGTCAGAAAGTTACAACAGCAAGCAATACAACACGATAGGACATTTGACAGGATGGGTCACATTGATCTGGATTTGGCCAAAGGAAACCTGGCAACCAACACACGTGGATAATGACTACGTTCTCCCCCTGAAAATGTAATTTTGGCAACAAAAATGTAGCATCGTTAAATACAATATTTTCTCATACGTAAAAAAAAAATTCCTCGAAAATCCTGTGCCGTTTATTCTTGTTTCATATATTAATGAAATGGACGGAGTCTTAAGACTAATTATGAATGCGCACTCTACTCTTGCTAATACTGTCAAACAGAAATTGCGTTTCAAGAGTTTGCTACTGTGGTAAGTGTTGACCATGCATCGTTCTTCCCCAAGCGCGTGTTTTCCAAACGGTTTTGTGGTCAAATAAAAATGAAACAACAAGACCGTTGCCCTGGGATTCCATGTGCTGTGTTTGCTGTAAAAAAAACGAAGCAGTTTTCCTTTAGTTCCTCTTAGCTATTGGAATGTTTTTCTCACCACGTTAAACGGTCACTGAAATACCTCGCCTCTGACAAACCCACTCGATCGCTCTCAATTTGCCCTGGAGGTGAAATTGTGTTCGCATTTGGATGGGAGATCACCTGGGGGGGAGGCTTGGTTGTGGCCATGGGGCATGCGACGCGTGACACGGAGCTGGCGGCCCAGCGGCAGCGCCGTTCGCCGCTTGTCTCAGAAGTTCGCGGTTCGAATCCCACGGCCGCCCCCCTGATTGATTAATGCTGTGTCGTGTAATGACTATGAAATAATACACGTCGTCTGCTTTACAGTCGGATGTTAAAATAATCCCTGGGTGCTATTTGCAATTGAGGGCCGTTGCGTGCCGGCTTTAGGGTCAAAACTTGACAATAATACACAGCTCATTTGGAATATGCTTGGCAATCTGCTTGGCCAGGACCACCCAGGAAATGATTCACGAGACTCGGCGAGGTTCTGGCTGGGTAAACAAGTCCAACGATTACTCAATTCGAACGCTCGGCTGGTTTTCCCTGGGTTCTCCTGTTCCCCCATCACACGAACACAAACAAGCACTCATTGATAGAATCGGCCAAACATCCTAATGGTCTAGCAGGTCCCTCCGAACAGAAAAAAAAACCTAAGATTTCTTACGACTCAGGCTTTATTGAGTCAAAGGGCAGTATTTGTTATTATTATTATACCGCAAAAAAGGTCAATTTTTATATGCGACCTTCATTTCGCTAACCGGTTGCGTTACTTGCTCCACAGGTGGCATTTCCCCAATAACTTGACGCACGTTCACCAACGCTTACATTACGTCGCCACGGGAGGTGCTAAGGTTTTCTTTCTCATTTCCCAAGTGACCTCCCCCTCTCCTTCTCCCCCCCGTAAGCGGCCGCACGGTTTACGCTACACGTGGGCACGCTCGAAAGAAAAACGGGGGGGGGCGGGGGTGGGGAGCTCCACGCACTGCGTTGCCGTGTCGAAATTCTGAGAAGGGAAGCTCGGTCTGGTTTCTGACGATCAGAAAGAACTAAAAAAAATAGGAAGTGTTCAAACCCAAACTGTGTTTGTGTGGCAGTGGAAACTGGGAAGTCCGTGGTGTGGGGTTTTGGCTCGGTGGGATATTTATTTTTGCGCGCGCTCTCAACGTCGCAGCGACCCTGCCCACCGGCCTGGGCGCAGAGACGGAGGGGAAGAGGCATTAACAAGAACAACAACGATACATATGTTATTTAATTTGTACTGCTATTTTTATATATTTTTTATATTGCACACTCGATGATTTTTTTTATGCAAACGTCGATGCACGTGAAAAGATCGGAGCGAAAACATCGGTCGGTTTTTTTTTACGAGCTATTTTATAGGAAAGGACAATGTTAAATATTCAAAAGCAATGTTTATTATAGAAGCAAATAGTGACTTGGTAACCCCATCATATTTCGTAAAATATGATGATGAACATTTCTAAAGTCAAATACATAGGCACTCAATCGCAATCTTAAGTCTGCTTTCAAAAATATGTCGAAAATATAAATATGATTACACAAATGTGT